ACACACACACACACACACACACACACACACACACACACACACACACAGGTGGCCATGAACATTCAAGAGCCCACACACCAGGACACACCTCCAACACACTCCCAGCTCCCGGAATATTGCAGGAAAGCTCTGATGGTTTGTATCAAGCCTCAACTGACGATGTCCCAGGGACAACAGGGTGGGCTGCCTTTTGGGTTGCCAAGGGGCAGAAAGGATGGCAAGGCTGCCTAGGAACATTCTAAATTTGGCAGCAGCGTGGGAGGGGAGGTTATAAGGGGAATCATGGGCCTAGCATAACCAACAGCTAAACAAAGGGCCTCCAAGGGCATATTTGGCTTTTGGGGGCCTAGAGCCACCAATAAAAACTGAGGACTGAAAAGCTAGAGTCATCCCTGAAGTAGGATGAAGTTATATCATAGATCTATTCCTCCTTATCCCACTTTACTTGTTCCACTCCCCATTTAGAGACACAAAAGTCATGGCCTTACCATGCTTTATGGAATGAGATATTTTAATCAGAGCCTGGGGTAGAACTTGGATGTGGACAGTCTGGGCAACAGCTAAGAGGACAACCCAGATAACCTATCCTCTGATGAGAAAACCATCGCAGACCTCTCGCTGGTTAGCTCTGCCTCAGGCCTTCTCTTCTTCTCAGGGACAGGATGTCTATAAGATACTACGTGCAGAAACATGGTCCCTTTTGAGAGTCACCCGGTAAAACAAATCATTTCCTAATATCCAGCACTCACGGATCACTGCAGCTACCAAAAACACCCAAGAGATCCTACAGAGACAAATCTGATCATAACGACCTAGGATAAGAGGTAACTAAGCCCTAACACTTGATTTTAAGCTCTCATCTACAAGTAGAAATCCTCACCTTTGGGTCTGCTAGAGGCTGGGTCTAGGTGTTTGACTCCATTTGAGATCCCAAAGCCACTCATTTCTAGACTTAGAATATTCTTGGCCCAGGTTCAACTGCTTCCCACCTCTGAGATGGGAAAGGTACAAGGGCCTCTCATTCACCATGCATTGGTCTATGGGTGGCAGAATCAGACAGTACTAGAACTCAGAACATCCAATCTCTGTGGCTGGTTCAGACTAGGGGGCCCAAATGACAGAATTAGGGACAAGATGGCGACAGAGGCCTCAACAGGGATTGTAACTTACTCACTTATCTCACACTTGAATGGTCTGCATAGAAGAGACATCAGGATCACTGTCCAGGAATGTCTCGGGTCAGTCTTCTTCCTAGTGGGAAACTGGGGTGTGGTGCCATCCTCAGTAGAACGGGCAAGCATCAGCCCCAGGATTCAGAGGTTCCTTGGTCATTGCAGGTGTGTGGGCTCTATGTGTCTCTGGGGACAAAAGCAGAGATGCCTGTTTACCTTTTAGACAGTTCTTTGCTTTTTTGCTCCCCAGAGTAAAATTATTCCCAGTTCCAGGCTGTCAGGCCAACTGGAAAGACAGAGACACAAACTCGAAATATATTCCAGACTCCCCAGCTTCCCTATATTTAACAAGGCCTCTTCCCTGGAACTTCTCAGTCCCTTTTTGCCCACCCTGCTCTATTGTCTGGTTGCCAGTGAGGTCAGAGGGTTAGAACAGGATTTTTCTAAGTATTCCACAGACAAAGCCCTAAGATTCCACAGAAACATGCCAAAGTTTCATTGGTATTTCCCAAGCAGAGTTAGTCCTTACAGGCTTTTGCACAATTATTTTAAGTTTGAATGAGGAGATTATTTCTAAATATAGCTCCTTTCTCTTGTCTCTATTCGTGTCCCTATCTCATCTTATCTCCTAGACCACAAACTCCTAGAGCAAGGTTCTTAACCTTTTTTGTGTGTCCTGGACCCCACTGGCAGTCTGTTGAAGCCTACAGATCCCTTCTCAGAATGATGTTTTTAAATGCTTAAAGTAAAATACATAAGATTACAAAGGAAACCAATTACATTAAAATAGTTGTAAATTTTTTAAGTTCACAGACCTTAGGTTAAGAACTCCTTCTTCCCACCCTCCATTTTGTTAAGAGTAGGCATTGTATATTAGGCAGCTGTATTGAAGGTACATCACTGAAGTCAAGAAGTCCTGAGTTAAGAAGTCCTGAATTCAAATCCAACCTCAGACACTTACTAGCTGTTTGACTCTGACACTTAATTTCTGTCTGCCTCTGTTTCCTCAACTGCAAAATGGAGATGATGATAGCGCCCACCTCCTAGGGTTGTTGTGAGAATCAAATGAGGTAATATTTCTAAAACACGTTGCAAACCCTAAAGTGCTATATAAATGCTAGCTATTGTTATTATATATAATATGATTTGATATAACATATTATAGTATAATATAACATAACATAATATATCTTTACATCCTCAGCACCTAGCAGTGTCTTGCTAGAGACACTTGCTAGAGACATCAAGAGAAACTTGATAATGTTTGAGGAATAAATAAATCTCCCAATTATAGTCTTATCTTCTTCCTGCACTTGTGCCCAAGTACTACACCTACTGTCCATATTTCCCTGGCATCAACTTGGAAGGACCGTGGTAAAAAAAAAAAATGCACCACCATATCGGATCTCTACCCTTGGCAGAGTGAAGGGCTAGCTGAGGTCCCTGAGAGGAGTTTCTGTGCTATTTCCAGAAGGGGCAATATTAAGACACTGCTCAAGGTCCTTTTTCATCTATTAAAATGAAGGACGTTAGACGTTAGACCTCTAATATTCTGTGACTACCAACCACCTCCTAGAGTGCCCTCTTATGAGATACGGAGAACCCAAAGGGAAAAGGGAAGGGGGAGAGACTAGAGAAGGGAAGAGGGAAGGAAATGTAGAGGTAAAGAGAGAGAAATTCAGAGAGAGGGCTACAGATCTCTTCACCCCATTACTGGATATGGCCCTAGGCTATCCAGTGGTCTTGGAACTGTCCATTGGATATGGCCCGGTAGACTGGAGGGTGGAATACTAAATGCCTCCTAATAACTTTCCTCTACAGAAGGCAGAGCCTGGACTTTTGCTCACTCCATTCTGCATCTGCCAGTATCCCTTAGTCTCTCTCCCTCCCTGCCCTTGCTTTCCTGCTTCCTTTTCTGTGTTGTCTCCCTCTATTAGATGGCAAAGTCCCTGAGGGCAGGGACTGTCTTTCTCTTTATTAATTGTACCTCCAGTGCTTATAACAGTGCCCTGCACTAATTAGGCACTTAATACACATCAATAAGATTGAATTGGATGGCCCTGGGGTGGTCTAGAGGGATAAAACAACAACAAAAAAGTCATCCATCATGAGCTATCTGGCCACTGGGGAGGATGCAGGAAAGGACATGTTCTGTACACTTTTACTCTCACAGTAAGATCATTTTTTCCACCCTTGCCTCCTTGCCACCCTTGACACATCTCCACATATACCTCTAGCTTGGTTCTGAGAGCAGGTATTGCTTTATGAACAAGGAAGGAAGAAGCAGGAAGTCCTGCTGGGTACACACCTATCCCTGGAATGAGGCAGATGCATTTCCTGGATACATCCCACACGTTCCCTCTCTGCTATATCTTTAGAATCCAGTTCTGCCCACTGGCACTGCCCCCATTCCTTGAGGCCTTGGCATGCCACATCTGCTGCAAGAGCCAGGAACCACCAGTACGAAACAGAAACCGAGGGGCCACATCCTGTGTGTAAAGCCCTCTGGGATCTGTAGTCCGCCTACTAGGAGAGGTGGCTCTGACAGAGAATCAATTCAACAAACATTTATCGGGCACAGGTTTTATGGTTAAGACTGCGTTAAACATAGTAGGACATTCAAGGAGAGAAAGGTAGTGTGGGCTGGTGGCTAGAGTACTGGGCCTGGGTTCAGATCCTGCCTCTGCCACCTACTAGCTGGGTGGCCCTAGACATTTCACTTAATCTCTCTGAATTTCAGATTCTCTAAGGCTATCTATTAAGTTAGCAACAACTGGATGTCAACTGAGTTGGTGGAGGGAGTTTGGTCACTGATAAAATCACAGTTCTTTGACTAGTGATATTTGTGCAAGGCACTGAGCCAGGCACTGGGAATCAACAGACCAAAAGGTCTGCAGTTCCACTTAAGGAGCTCTTAATCTAATTGAGGAAGGAGGGCAAGGAGGGCAAGGAGGGCAAGAAAGAAGGATGGGAGGGAAGGGAGGAAGGAAGGAAAGGAGGGAGAGAAGGAGGGAGGAGAGAGGAAGGAAGAAAGACAGGGAAGGAAGGGAGGGAAGGAAGGGAAGAAAGGGAGGGAGAGTGGGAAGGGAGAGAAAGGAGGGAAAGAGAGAGGAAAGGAAGAGGAAGGAAAAAGAAGAAAAGAAAGAAGGATCTCTAGGGAGAAGAAAGACAGAAAAAGGTGAGATGGAAGGAAGCATTTATTAAGGGTCAACTGTGTGCCGGGCACTGAATCAAAAATAAGTAGGACCTGAGAGAAGGAGACTAGGCTTTAAGAAATTTTACCTCAGGTACTTTTACCTCGCAGACTCAGGAACTTTCACCTAATGAACTTTTACCTCACAAACTTTCATTGAAGAACAGTGGACCTGAGTGAGGGAAGATTGAAGGACCCCCTGCTGTTTCTGGAAGTCACACCTAGTGGTGCTGAACAGATGTGATGCCCAGCTGTGAGTGTGGGTGAATATGGGATCACAGGGAACAAGAATATTTTCAGGACAGTGTGGCTGAGGCTTAGGGGAGAAAGAGAGGAGTCCCTAAGCTTGAGCCCCCAGAAGAATTCAGAAAACAAGAGTAAGAAGGATCTGAGTCTTAGGGCAACATTACCCACAACTTGGGATTAAAACTTGATTATAAAAAAAAAAACACTTGATTATAATCATATTAAGCTGCTAAAAATAAAATGACAAATTAAAAATAAAAATGAGTTAAGCAAAGGAAAAAGGAACTGACCATTGATAGCTACTTTGGTGTAAAAAGAAGATCTGAGTTCATACTCAGAGGAAGATAGTGAGGTTAAAAAAACCTGCTCCTACCCTAAAGAGTATCGTCAAATGGTCATAAGCACAAAAAGAAATCTTGGAAGAACTTAAAAAGGAATTCAAAAACAAAACAAGAGAGAATGAGGAAAAAATTAGAAGAAAAAAAAAGCAATCCAAGAAAATTATGAAAAGAAAGTTAACCAATTGGAAAAGGAGATACAAAATCTTAAGGAAGAAAATAACTCCTTGAAAACTAGAATCAGGCAAATGGAAGTGAATGACATCATAAGACACTAAGATATACTAAAACTAGAAAAAATAGAAGAGAACATGAATAGAAAAACAACTGATCTGTAGAACAGATCGAGAGGAGACAATATAAGAATTGTCAGACTACTTGAAAGTTATGATAAAAAATTAGAGAGAATCCGGATACTTACTACAAGAAATTTTTAAGGAAAATTGCCCTGAAGTTAGAAAGAATCCAGTGATCACCACTTGAAAGAGATCCTAGGAAGAAAACTTACAGGAAACATCATAGCCAAGTTTCAAAACTCCAAGGTTAAAGAGAAAATATTACAAGCAACAAGAAAAAAAATTAAATACTGTGGGGAAAACAGTTAGGATTTCCCAAGACCTAGCAGTTTCTACACTAAAAGACCATGGGTCTTCAGACATTATATTTCAAGGAGCAAAGGAGCTGGGGTTGTATCCAAGAATAACTTATCCAGCAAAATTGAGTTATCCTGAATGAAAAAAAAAATAGACATTTGATGAACCGAAAGACTTTCAGGTATTTGTAACAAAAAGACCAGAACTCAATCGCAAAATTCAATATAAAAGAAGAAGAAATATAAAGAAATCATTAAAAACTAATTATAAGGCACTGATAAAGGTTAAACTTATGCAATGTGAAAATGTTATCAGTATTCTTAAAATTGTAATCATTACTAAAAAAGTTTGAAATAAAGGTTGTGACTGATTTGTGTATGATGAGGTGATTCTAAGAATTGGATAGCATAAGGTAAAAAGGAGCAATTATCTCATAAAAACGGGGTGTGAAAGGAAGAACTAATTTAGAGGAAACAGGTGGGGGTGGGGGGCCAGTAATATGGGAACTTTATTCTCATCTGGGTTGAAGAGGAAACAAAGTGTACATCTGAAAAGGTTTAGAAATCTTATGAACTTCTAGAGAGGTGAGAAAACGAGGGGGGATGGGGTTGAGGAAGGACTTTTAAAAGGCAATACAGAATAAGATTAGAGGACTGGACCTCTAGGGAGAAGCAAGAGAGGATATGCATATTTGGGTGTCATTTGTATAAATTCCATTGTTGTTGTTTAGTTGAGTCTGACTCTTCCAGACACATACTGTCCAGTGGAATTTTCTTGACAAAGATACTGGAGTGTTTTTGCCATTTCCTTTTCTTGTGGATTAAGGCAAGCCGAGGTTAAGTGACTCGCCCAGGATACATAGCAATTAAGCATCTGATGCCAGATTTAAACTCAGGTCTTCCTGACTGAGTTTTATCCACTGAGCCATCTAGCTGCCTCGATAAAGGTGATAGCTTAAGTCAAAACAGTAAAAGAGATCACTAAGGGAGCGAAAATACTGAGAAAAGAGGGGTAAGGTCAGAAACATCAGATTAGAAATTCAAGAGGTCACTAATGTCTCTTGCAGATATGGAAAATCTATTTGGGGGACAGCAAAAGAAGGACAGGGAAAATGTCAAGAGGCTTTGACTTACTGACTAATGTACCTGGCTCCAGGAACAAAGTGTGGAGAGGGTGATGTTTCTCAGCTCCTGGGAGAAAACTGATTTTATTAAACAACAACAAAAAAAAAACCTCTCTCTCATTCTGTCTCTATTTCTCTCTCTCTCTCTCCTGTTATCTATTTTTTAACCATTCTTTTTTTTAAATTTTGAGTTCCAAATTCTCTTCCTCCCTCCCCTCCCCCACTCATTGAGAAGGCAAGAAATATGATACCCATTGTGCAAAGGAAGTCAACCACAGCAACATTTGAGTTTGTTATATTCACCTAAACAATGACCTAGCACTCCATCCCACTTGGCTGTGGCCCGTGTCCCATCTAAACCTCATTTCTATATACAGGTACACAGAACTGACTAGCCTTCTCCAGGGACTGAGGGCCAAGCTCAGAAATGAAGGACGGAACAACAGCTATGAAGTCCCATCTGCAGGACTCATCATCCCAGCTCAGACCTCCTCTTAGATATCCACTATTTCCCAGCTTTCAAATGTTACAGGACCTCAGACAGCACACAAGCCACCCAGGAAAAACCCAGACACCGCACCCAGGCTCCTGACTGCCCTCTCCAGAAACACAGTAGCCAGAGTCACATACCACACCAAAGAACGTGGAAAGGAAAGCCGGGACACCACAGCTGAGCTGCTGCAAGTTGCTTACCTGCTGTCAACTTCCTTATTCTGATATGCCCCACTTGTCTAGGGTTGGGCGGGTCTGACCAGGCTACAGAGCATCACGAGGCAGATTTAAATACCTGCTCCAGCCCTCCTGGGGATAGGTGGAGCTCCCAAAGCCCACTTCTCGTGCATGGCCCCAGCTGAGGACCTCGGCCCCTCTGCTTGTTACTAACCTGTACTTCACATTCAGTCCTTGCCATTTATGTAGTTTATTTAAACTATTTATCTATACCAAATATCTGTGTTAGTTCTTTCACTTTCTCCCTCCAGTAGATTGTAAAATCATTGTAATACCTTTTGGGATCTGAAGGAAACACTTTAAGTATTTCTTAATACTGTTAAGTATTAAATACATAGGAGGCAGCCTGACATAGGGTAGTCAGAAAGTATTTATCAAGCACCTACTAAATGCCAGGCACACTGCTAAGCACTTTACAAATATTATCTCATTTGATCCTCACAACAACCTTTAATGTAGGTACTAGTATTATTCCCATTTTACAGTTGAGGAAACTAAGGCAGAGACAGCCAGAAAGTATCTGAAGTTGGATTTGGACTCAGGTCTTCCTGATTCCAAACCCAATGCTCTCTACATACTGCACCACCTCAAGAAGAACTGAATTTGAATTCCACCTCTTACACTAATGTAATAATACTTGAGTATTATTACATAGGTATTATTAATAGTAACATTGTGATGATGATAATACCTACTATCTTACAGGGCTATTTTGAATCTCAAATGAGATCATGTATATAAAGCACTTTGCAAACCCTGAAGGGCTCTAGAAATGCCAGTTATTATTCTATTCCATAGAATTCATTACCCTCCAATGCAAACAAACATGCTAGAGATGATTTAAAATTTTTGGATGATAGCTCCATCATCCAAGTACTAAGGAAAAATTAGAAATATTCAGGGCTCCTCCCTGTAGGAAAATTAATCCAGAAATTGTAAGAAAGATGGCCTGGATAAGGAAGGGATTGGCTTTGGGAACACAAATTAGGAAACTATGACAAATGCCTAAGTAACCAAAGAAGAGACGAGGAAATGTGGGGGTTTGGGGGTACTGAAAGGTACATATGGTTGTACCATAGGCATGGTTGCAGTATTGTCTGGTTTTGTTTAATTCTGCTTTCCTTTGTTACGAGGTGGGGGTGGGATAGTCAGAAATTATTGTAAAAAAGGTATCAATAAAATATTCATTTTAAAACTATCTAGGGAAGAGATAATGTGGGGTTGAAACAGAAGAGTGGCCATGTGAACAGAAAGAAGAAAGCTTTTGCAAGAGATATTACTACAGTAGAATTGACAGGACCCGGCAACTAATCGGATGTGGGAGGTGAAAGACGGGGAAGAGCCAAAGATGACCTGATGTTTGGGGGGCTAAGTTACTGAGAAATTCACAGTGCCATTAATAGAAGTGGAGAAGTTCGAAGGAAGGACAGGTTTTAGGGGGAAAAGATGAGCTCACTTTTGGACATGTTGAATTTGACATGCTGTTGGGGGGAGATAAATGTTTGGAGAGGCAGTTAAGGAGAACTCAGGAGAAAGAACAAGGTAGAATATATGAATAGAGAATATGATAGAGAAAAATCATCAGAATCTCCCACAAAATGCATTTCTCAGAGACTCCAAGACACAGACAGATAGAGAGAAGAGAGAGAAAGAGAGAGAAGGGAAAGAGAGGGAGGGAAAAAGGGAGGATGATAGGGAAGGAGAAGGAGGGAGGGAGACAGACAGGGAGAGATGGAGAGATGCTGAGCTGGTAGGATCATTAGTTTGACCTAAAATTGCATTTTTTCTAGGTTTCCAAAACTCCATGGTGGACAGAGTAGCCCCACATACATTGTTGTTGAGTTGTTTTTCAGTTGTGTCTTATTCTTCATGACCCCATTTGGGGTTTTCTCAGCAAAGATAGTGGTTTCCCATTTCCTTCTCCAGCTCATTTTACAGATGAGGAAACTGTGGCAAACAGTGTTAAGTGACTTGCCCATGGTCACATAGCTACTAAGTATGTGAGGCCAGATTTGAACTCAGGAAGATGAGTTTTCCTGACACCAGGCCCACACTCTCTCTATCCACTGCGCCATCTAACTGCTCCTACATATACTGTAGATAATCAATAAATGTCAATCTATGATGGTTTAGTACTTTCTTTGCTTATAAGAGCAAAGCAGGAAGACAAAGGAAGCACAATCAGGCTTCTCTAATCCAATTTTTTGAATACTTTCTAACTGTATGAAAAGGTGAAAGAAGGCATGAAAGGAGTAAGGTCAAGAAGCAAGGTCAAAGCAGGTATAAAAGGATATGTTTTCTCATGGTTTCTTTGGTTGTAAAGATTCTCTGGCATAATGACATAGCTCATGCCTGAATGAAGTGCTGACCTCAGATTTAGGTTAAGGAAATAATAAACGATCACTCTCTTAATTATTATAACATGCTTGCATATTGAGTAAATAATTATCACACATGACAAAATCATTTCCCTATTAATCAGCAACTGCTGGTGGGAAATTCTTCTGCCTCAATCCTTGTAGTATGAGTACTGGCTCAGGAGTCAGAGCACCTAAGTTCAAATCCTGTCTCTGACGTTTATTACCTATGTGATGTCAGGCAAATCACTTTATCTCACTGGGACTCAGTTTCCTCCTCTGTAAAACGAGGGATTTGTATTAGGTGACGTCTGAAGGCTCTTCCAGTTCGAGATCTAAGATTATTATCTTTCTCTTCCCCTTAGGACTATCTATCGTGAGTTAAGCTATGTAATTGATTCTTTATTATCTGAACTATTACTAAAAACTAAAAAAATTTATCTCTAAGCCCCTAGGGTCTGAGAACTGAGAAACCCAGGGAGTTATTAGAAAGACTTTTGGAAATAAGCTTACACTGCCCCTCCTCTCCTTTTCCTCTTCCCAAAAACAAAAATTGGGCAGCCACAGAGTAAAAGGAGATCACAGATGATAAGTATACAATGGAGAAGATCTTGGCCTATGTTGACCAACACCCTAATTTTGTAGATAAAGAAACTGTGCCCCAGAGAAATAAAGTGATTTTGCCCAAGGCCACACAGGTCGTAAGTAAACAGAACCAGAATTTGAACCCAAGGATTCTGACTTCAGATTCAGCCCTACCATCAACAACGATGACAATAAAATGTGTTGCACAAACAAATTTTATAACTTACAAAAGGTAGGAATGCATTAAGTTCCATTAAAAACACTTTTTTATAATAATAGCTGGCATTTATATAGCACTTTAAGGTTTATGAAGTTAACTGCTTCGATCCTCACAACAATTCTGGGAGGTTGGTGATATTATTAACTCCATCCTTACTATAAAATCCCTCAGTATCTCTCCCCACAAGGCCCAGAGCAATTACTTCTATTTGGTCTTCTGTAAGGTTGGTCCTGAATACAAACAAATTTTTAAAGATAAAAATTGTTGATGTCTTTTATTTTTACATGTCACTTCTGGATCTTTCCCTCCATGTCACCCTAAGAATCATATCCTCTCTTTTAATAGAAACAATGAAACAAAAGCTACCAATACAGCAAATGCATCTGACAGTGTATGCAACTTATATCCCCCCCTTACCTCTCTGCTGAAAAGGAAGATACATTTCATCTGTTCTTCAGGACCAAAGCCCATCATTAAAATCACTCAGTCTGGCTTCTTTTTGGTGTTCTCTTCATTTACATTATTGTAGTCATTGTGCATACTGTTTTTCTGGATCTGTTTACTTCACTCTGCATCAGTTCATACAAGTCTTCCCTAATGCCTTATATTCATCTACATTTCTAACTGCATAATAATATTCCATTACATTCACATGCCACAATTTATTCAGCTATTCCCTAATTGATGGAATACTATGTTGTTTTCAGTTCTGTATTACAAAAAAAAAGTGCTGCATGTATTTTATAACTAACAAAAGCTAAGATTGGACAGGTCCAGCTAAAAATACATTTTTCACTAGGGGCACAGTGTCTCTGTTCCTGTTGGTCCCTTCTGGTGGCATGATAAGAGGAAATACAAATGTATAATGTTGGGCCCTATGAGATCTTAGCTGGAGGAGGGAAGGTCTGCAGGGAATGAGAAGCAGACTCTCTACTCTGCCTCATCATTCTCCTTCCTGGCTGACTGCTCATCCCCCCATTCTTCAGACACCTGGCTCTTCCATTCTACCATATGCTTTTTAGTCTGAGAACCAAGATGACACTAACTCCTCAATACCTCTCCTCCTTTTTCCTGCCTTTAGTCTCCCAACTTCCTTGCTTTGTCATCCTGCACTCTCATCAATCCACACCTCCCCTTTCTCTTCCCCTTCCTCCATTCTGCAAAACATGACAAACCCAAATGTCCCCTTTGGGAAATAAATCAGCCCCTTGGATTATGGCCCCTTAACTCCACTCCCTCTTTTTCTCCTACTTCCATCCCGGTCCTTTGGCACTCAGGAGGTGGTACATTGTTGATCCTCCACTGAAAGGCTGGACAGCTGTCGTGTTCCCTAATTAGCTCTCTGGCTGTCCACCGGGAAAGCAAGGCATGTGTTACTGTAAAGAGACATTTCACCTGTTCTTCGTCAATAATCTCTTATGCAGAGAGTCCATTAGGCAGCAGCTGAGCTGTCCTGATCATCCTTTTCATGTGAGACAGGGCTTGGCTGCTTTTCCCAGTTCTGGTGCTAACTCTGCTGGAAAGGAAAAGGTGGTGGGCTGATTGTTTTTGCACTAATTCTCCTCTAGCACACAACACAGTAAGATGATAAGAAATCTCTCTAAGCTGTCTTCCCACTCAGAGCCACAAGCCCTTCTGGGCTATCTAACGAATCTACTTAGACCCCTGGTATCCTCAGAAGTAATGCCAAAAGTTCTATCATAGTCTTACTATCACAGGTGAAAGGGCAGGGGTAACATGCTAGGAGTTAGCACAGAGCTGTTCACTACAGTAGGCTTCCTAGAGTGTGGCTACCTACCATTGGCTAGACTTTGAGGG